GGAACTGACTGAACAGAACAAAAATGAAAAGGCTAAAATACACTTTCTGGAGTTTGAAGCTCCTTGGAAAAGTGCTGAGAAAGGAGAGAGCTAAAAACAAACAGATTTCTGCTTATCTTTATGCTGAGCATTGAATATCTCTTAAGATACATCAGCTCCCTTATCTCAGTTTTGTAAAGCAATAGCATAACACTGGCTGCAAACGTTAATCTATTATGCAGAATTTTCCATTAAGTAAAAAGTAAGCATTCTTTGAAAATTTGATGGAAAGCACATTTGGTGTCCTAGCACTCAAGAAATACATGAACAATTTTACATTTTCTAAGTACCTTTGACTTAATAAGCACAGTGGTATAGTGGTATAGAAACAAAAGAAGGAGGAAATAGGCTCAGGATCAGGACAATACTTAAGTCAACGCTACACTGCATAGCTGCATCTCTCTGTAATGCCTGCATTATTTTCTGTTCCTAGAACACCAGAAGAAGCACTTATATATAAGAACAGCGAACCTGAACTAACAGCGTAAAATCAGCCAACGCAGAGAGGGCGATGATCGTTCTTCTTCCTTGAAGACACCAGCAGTAAGCTCAGGGATTTTACTGCCCAGAGCTATTTTCACCTTAGCCTTCATTAAACTAAATATGACAGCACTTCTGAAGTTTCATAAATCCTTTGCACACATCTCTTAGTCATCACAGCTCCTTCCTGCTTGCAGTCTAATTTTTCTGAGGCAGTTCGCCACCAGGGGCTAGCTCTGGAGAGTTTAGAGAAGCAATGAAAAATTGACAACATTATTTGAACACTGTTAACACTCACTTCTTCCATCCACTAATCTGAATATCACCTTGTGCAGCTGAAGTTCACTAAACACAGAAAAAGTTCTTCAGTAAACTTTCAAGAACTGATCTGCTGCATGCACAAAAGCCTGCAAATGGGAATTAGATTTCAACTGAAAAATAATTACCTTATGACAAAGCACTTCAAAGGATTTAAGGGAACAATGCTCAGATTCTACGAGTGATTTTAATCCAGACTGGTAATCTCTGCTTGAAAAATTACTGCTTAATTCTGCCTATGTTAAGAGCCTTGTGATTGGACCCTCAGTGATGCCATGGCCTAAGAGACCTGGGCTTTGGGGAAAACTGTGTGTCCTGTGAAGAAACTCCTCCATGTAAGTATACACTGCAGACTTGCACAAAGCCACGACACGGGCCAGTGAGCAGACCAAACCCTGAGCTGAGCCTCTAACTCTGGGTCTGTTTTTAGAAAATATGCTTTCTTTTAGAAAAACAAAAAGATGATCAGTAACTACTATGATTAAGATAATCCAAAACTAAAATCCTGACAAAAAGAGAGTTGAAACATGACTAGCAAGTCACTCATCAGAAGCCTGTCAGCGGCCAAAAGGTGATCTCCCTCGCTTAAGACAGTCAAGACAGCAAATCAACTACAGAAAGGTAACCTTTTCCCCCTTTGCTGCTGTGGACTCATTGCTGAAATATTCGTGTAAACACCAGATTAATACTCTGTAATGCATTCTGATGATGGCCTGACCTCTTCCAGGAGGCACATGTTTAACAGCTGCACGGTTTATGCAGTAAAATCTCAGTTGTGAGGGAGCTGCAGGGGGTTTCTGTGAGCAGAGCCCAGCAGTGCCCCATGTCAGAACAGAGCTCCAGCTGCTTCTAAGAGATGCAGTGATGCCAGAGCCGAGCCCTGGGCAATGCTGGTTGTGCTTTAGGATAACAGATGTAAGAGGAAGGAAACTCCTGCACAACAGCATCTGGGAGAGAGATGTGAGAAATGGAAAAGAAATGGCCTTGCAGGCACCCAGGTCAGTGCCTTCTTCCAGTGCAGGAAGAAGGCAGGAGGAGCTCCAGGTGTGGAACAGCAGCCCCCTGCAGCCCAGGAGATGCCTATGAAGGAGAAGGATGTCCCTCTACAGCTCATGGGCACCATGTGGAGCAGATTTCCTCATGCAGCCACAGAGGAGCCCACAATGTAGAAGAGATGAGGCCTGGAGGATACACAGCCCATGGACAACCCCACATGAGCAGCCTGGGCCAGAGCTGCAGCCCACAGTGAAACGAGATCTTGTGGAAACTGAAGATGGTGAGGGACCCAGGCAGAACTGTGGCCCATGGGAAGGACCTCACAGTGGAGCAGGGTAGAGTGAGGAGGAAGGAGTGGCAGAGATGAAGCACTGGGGACTGACTGCAATCTCTATTCCCCATCTCACTGTGCAGCTCAGAGGGATAGGATGAAGTAGCTGAATCAGGAATGAAGATGAACCTGGGAAGAAGGAGTTGGATGGGTTACTGGGGGCAAACTGGCTTTAGGTTTCTTTTGTTTTTAAACTTCCATTATCCTATTCTGTTACTACTGGCAATTAATTAAATTAATCACCTTCACCAAGTCAAGCCTGTTTTTTCCATGATGACAATTAGTGTAATTGGTGATCTCCCTATCCGCAGCTCAACCCATGATTTTTCATCTTATTTTCTCCTGTCTCATAGAGTGAAAGCAGTGTGGGAGGCACCTGGTGACCAGCCTAAGTTAACCTACCACTGCAGCAAAAGACATGGACATGTTTTCAGCTGAAAACTGTTTCCTGCCAGTGTTATGAAGCAAATCTCACTTAGCATTACCATTTCACAGCTCTTCAGTTGTCATTTCAAAAGCGAATAGAAGCAAGGAATAAAGAAACCACCCTAGCCAATGCTTTGTGCATTAGGTCCATGAGCATAGGGGACAGGAGTCAGCAGCACCCTAACTGGAGTACAAGATCAAAGCAGTGGAAAGGAAAAATGTGATCATTTCAGTAACTCAGCTTTATCTTCCTGTGGCTTGGCCCTGCATTAGGATACATATCCCAAAGTAGATATGGAGTGCAGTATGGTGGTGCCAGGGACCACATGGTGGAAGAGGGGCAGTCACCAAATGGGACTATCGTTCTTTTGCACGGTCAGGCATTTCATGCTTGGCAGCAGACTGAGAACCATCTCATGAGATAGCACAGATATCCTGATATGTTGCTCCCAGACTTACCCACAACCCCTCCAGGTCTCCTCCGCATTCTTGCTGAACTGCTAGCTCTGTGAGCAGAACAGTGAACACAAGGAAATGTAGAACACCCAAGCTCTGTGCTTGGGAAGGACACCCATCTTATCAGCAGACTACTGAAAGGGCTAATATTTCTCCACAGGCTGCCATTGAAAAGTCCTGCATGTTGCAGTGTGGTTCACAAATTGGCTTAGTATTCCAGATTATAATTTCCTCCTAAAACTGTTCCCACATTAATAAAATACACAAAGAGAAAACATTAACTGAGCGTGACTGGAAAACCCAGAACAGGCATTGTGTTCATGTGCATGCTGTTCAGACTTTTTTTTTTTAAAACTTATTTTAATTACAATTTATAGGCAAAGTCAAGGGCAAGTGCACCCATTAATTAAAACAAAAACAAAAAGACTAACACTGCAGATGTAATTTTTCACTAAGAAGCACTGAAAGCTGCCTTCCTACTGCCAGAAGGGTAAACATTCTACAGAAAGACAAACTCAAAGTTCTCAAGGTCTGGAAGGAAAAAAAAAAAAAAAAGGATAGGAGACAAGCCACAATTCATATCTGATTTGCTGCTGCCTGCCTCCACAGCGCTAGGAGCTTTATTATCAGTTTCACTGCAGTTGCATATGGGCAGATTTAAAAATTAATACTGAGCTAATAAAAAAAAGTGTAAAACTTTATGTTCAGAAAGGAATTAAAGAAATTTAACAGTAGCCTAACTCAGGCACAAGATAGTACACCAATGTAAATCCTATGCAACTACTTAGAGGTTTCGCTGCCTTATTACTCATGTTTTCACTTCAGATTTTAATTGGGGGAAAAAAAAAAAACTTTTAAAGCTATAAACTGTATAATAAAAAGAGCTGTTCTTGACCTGTAGTGCCAACCAATGACAGTGTCCAGAAAAGTCTCACTCAGGCACACTGTAGCCATAAGAGTTTTAAACCTGTAGGAGTCTAACACTAAGACAGCCTCCCACCTATACAATAAAAAGGGGAAGGGAAAGCAGTGTGGCTTCAATTGCCCCAGAGGCAATGGCCAGGTAACACATTTTTAAGAGCTACTGCCTGTACTCACGCAGTTAGATAAAAGCAAACGCTGTTTCCAGCATCATGTTACAGCTGGGATGGACTTCCATTTTGTGAACGCAGTCAGCCACGGTTTTATTTAGTACAGCTCTTTGCAGCACACTCTGCTGACATCTCACCTAACAGGAGACCCGTTTTGTTCTAACAGCGTAACAACACGATGCCAATGAGAAGCACCGGCTGCTTTGACGGACGGAAGGTCTAAGGAGGTTTTCCTCAGCTGTCCTTTGAAAACCGAGATATTTTCTAAGGGGAGCTCTGCAGCTTTCTTGCGTGCGGTCTATGCGCTGGGCGGACTCAGCCCTCCCACTCGCAGCGCGCACTGACACACGGCGCCCTGCAGGGCACACGGCGCTGACACCGCAGCGCTGCCCTGCGCGTAACGGGGACCGCGCTACTAAAAATACCCGCGCGGTTTTCGGCGGACGCTGCGGCAGCCGCGGCGCTCCCTCCTGCTGGGCGCAGCAGCTCAGCAGCGATCGGTCCAACCTCACTGCAGACACAGCCCAAAGCCGAAGTGGGAACGCGGCAGTGTGGGGCGGGCAGTTAGGTGTGACAACCGCCAGCTGCGGCTCGTTACGCGGCATCTGCCAGGGGGACCAAAGCTCGTTCCCGGCTCTACACCGGCGGCTGTTCGCGGGAGGAGAGGCAGCAGGGCTTTGGGGCCACGCTCCGCCAGCACCGCGCCGCGCCCCGGAGCAGCGCAGCGCTGCCGTTTCCCAGCGGCGCTCCCCGCGAGGCGCGCGGACAGCCGCAGCGATACCCGCGGAGACGGGGCGCCTCCCCAGCGCCCGCTCGGCAGCGTCCTCCCCCGCCGCCCCCCGCCGCCCAGTCCCGGCACTCACGACACGTAGGCTGGGTAGCCGAAGCCGATGATGTTGCAGAGCAGCGAGGCGCCGTAGCCGATCACCAGGTACACGGCCACCGCTCCCAGGACAGCTGCGGGGAGAGAACGCGGAGCGGTTACCGGCGGCGAGCTGCCGCGGGGAGCGCCGGGCGGCGCGGCCTCACCTGCGGCGCAGAAGGGGAACGCGGCACGGCCCGGGACCGGGGAAGGAGGGAAAAGAGCGGGCAGGGCGCGGCCGAGGCCGCCGTCGGACGCCGCTCGGCCCGCGGCCACCCGCAAGGCCCCCGGTCCGGCCCCGGCTTCGGGACGGCCCCCGCTAACCGATGGCGATGTAGGCGCGGTCGACGCCGGTCTTGCTCTCGATCCGCTCGAGCACGGCGGTCATGCAGTTCTTCTCGCGCAGGAAGCGGTCGAAGCGCTGTCTCATGGCCGCCGTCATGGTGAAGCGCCGGGCTGCCGCTCCTTCAGCCTGCACAGCCACCGACGGACTTGGCGTCTGGCACCGCCCGGACACGAAGCCACCGCCTCGGCCCGCCCCCAGCCCCGGGAGGCGGGGAGCCATCTTCCGCCGAGCCGCGCCCGGCCGCGAAATGGAGGAGGGGGCGGCCGAGATCGGGGCGGCTGCGGAGGGCCGCGGCCGCTCGCTGCCGGTAGGCGCGGCACGGCGGAGCAGGGTGGCCGTCTCCAGTCCCTAAAATAGTGTGAGGTGAACGGAGCTAATAGGGTTGTTTTTTAAAATTGTGTGTGTTATCGGCAACTATAGGTGTTAAACGATGAGGAAAAGTCGGGGTCAGAACGTCGGGGCTGAAATAACGTTGAATACAGCAGCGTGATTCCACTGCTGCCTGACAGCACGGCAGCCTGAACTCTTGGCTGTAGTTGTACCTGGTAGTTGATGGTGCACCTACCGTACTTACCAACTAAATACAGTTCGTAGAGGATGATGTCGCCTTAGAAGCTTGCTCAGCTGTGCTGACTTCCCAGCAATTCTCCATCTGACTCAGCACTGCACTGAGTAACGTAGACTGTGCCTGCTTCAAATCAGTGTTGTTCATAGGCAAGCTGGAAAGTGCTATTTTGTCTTAGAAAGCGGTGTGGGTTTTTTTTACTCCTATCTTCACCCAAGGGGAATAAATAAATGAATAAAAAACTGTAAGTTGCACATTCTTTTATGCTGTCCTTGTTTTGAGAGAGTGCATCTCTCTCAATCTGAACGATTAAAAAAAAAAAAAAAAGTTCTTAAGTAGCCATCATTTAAGGCAAGAATGATGAGAAAGAGGAGAGTAAGAATCCTTAAAGTTGGAAGGGACCTCAAGAGATCACCTTGCCCGCATCCAGGTGGCTTTTGGGCATCTCAGAAGAGAAGACCCTGCAGCCTCTCTGGGCAGCTCTATTACCGACACAGCACAAAAGACAAAAGTGCTTCCTGCTGTTCAGAGAAACGGTTCTCTGGTGTGTGCTCACTGCCTCTTGGGCTGGCACTAGACATTACTGAACGAGCCTGGCTCTCTGCACATTCCCTTTAGATAATTGTGGACATTGAGATCTTCCTTGAGCCTTCTTCAGGCTGAACGGTCACAGATTACAGCTCTCTAAGCCTCTCCACAAATGAGAGATGCTCCTTTATCTTCATCGTGGTTGCCTTTTGCTCAATGATTTCTGGAATGTCCATGGCTTTCACATTGGGGAGTCCAGAGCTAGACACAGGACTCCAAGTATGGCCTCAGCAATCCTGAGTGGAAGGGAAGGATCACTTTTATTGAACTGCTGTCAGTACATTGCCTGATTCAGCCAAGAATGTCATTAGCCTTCTTGGTGGGAAGGACACATTGCTGACTCGTGTTCAGTGCAGTCAAGGGACCCCTAGTTCATTTTATTGTAAGCAGCATGCGAGAGATTTAATTCTCAGCTTCTGACAGAACAAAATTCTATACTTGAATTTAAAATAAAATAATATTAACATCTTTATTAAGATGTCTTTTTTTGTCAAGAATGAAGATGCCACTGTGTGCTGATCCTCCCCATTCTTAGAACACTACCATGCTGTTACAGTACGCCCATGGTTAAAAATGGCATAAGATAAGCACTGTTATTCTGATTTGGTTTATGAATATGCTGTATTCTAGAGAAATTACAGGATTTGTTAAACTCTAAGTGAGCAAACTGAAGAAGGCTCTGCACAAGAAGCTGCAGCTGAACTCCCTCTGGTCTTTCTTTTCTTGCCCCCCCTCCTCCCTCTCCCCACACACACACTTTTCAGGATCCTTATAAAAATTATTTTTCATCATACTTGTAAAACTGAAGCACTGAGAAGAAGGGCAAATGAAATACAAAATTTGTAGAAAAAGAAATGCAATAACAATGTTGAAAGCAATAGAATACTAGATCAGTTTTCATAATAACTGTTTGCATTTCCGTTCTTTTGTGCAAAAGTGCACTTTTTGATATGGCATTAACATGTCCCCTGGTTAATCTATACTAGACAAGCATTTTCAATGTACTTCAATCTGCTGAATAAATTATCTTTACCAGTAATGTGCTTTGTTTATGATGGTTTAATTATTACAGAGCAATAGCAAAATGTTAGAAGAAAGAAGCCGGAAATGCAAATGGACACGAAGGTAGAATACTGTCCTAATGCTCTTCTAACAAAATATGGTGAACAATAAACATTGATCAGTGTTCTTCTTGTTTCCAGAAAAAGCTTGAAAGTAAGAGAACGATACCACAGTTTGAAGGAGCTACGCTAGAGAAGGTTAAAGGAGGATGGAGAGACCTATTCAAGGAGGTTCTGCTGGAGATGCAGAAAAATGCAGCAGGTCTATCCTGTGGAGGGCCAAGAGATTTGTGGTTTCTTACCATGCAAGTTTCAGAAGTAGCAGAATGCAAAATATGTCCTCAATAAGAACCAGTGTGTACAGTAGTGGACCACTGTGATTCTAGCTGTAGATTATCACGAAATACCAAAGTCTAATTTTAGTCATAGGCTACTGGGGCTGGGAGAGGAATTGCTAATTTAAGCTTCATCTAGCCAGGCAGGCTGCACATTATGCCTCAGCGAGGACGGTGTTTAAGTGAGCACTTGAGAGGTACTCAAAGAGAACAGAATGGAACAGGGTTATTTCCTTTCTACTGTCTTCTTTCATCTTCTTTTTTTTTTTTTTTTTAATCTTAAACTTTTTTTTTTTTTTCCTGCATTTATTTCCTAGTTAGTACTGTTGGAAATATCCACATAATTTATCAGGGCGGTATCTCTGATAAAAACAGATTTTATTTACAATTGCAACGGCAGGCATCCTGTAAGCAGGAGTGCACAGAAAGCAGTGTTATATCTTTTATGCCCGGTTACCTGATGCTTATCTCTTCCTCTCCTGATTTCTCATTGGCTGAGTACTTCAGGTTCATAATCTTCCTGATGTTCAACTAAACATACAGATACTAGCTAAACATAAATTGTCGGTAGCTAAGCATGTATCAGTAATTTTTTAACTTCTAACGTTTGCTCACTCAACACTTGCTCATTATCTCATCCTTAGACAGAGATAAGTTTGGAAAGGAGGATAGAGAGGAATATCTTGATGCCTACCTTTTGCATCCCAACCTAGCCACAGAGTGAGACAAGCCAGCTTTGTGTGGAGGCCTTGGCTTCTTTGTTAAGTCTGTTTTTTTGCTGAGGGTCTCTTATCCAAACAGAATAGCCTTACAACATGCCTTCTAGTCCATAATGCCATACCCATGTGTATGGGAACTGCTGAATCACGGCCTGAACCTCTGATTGATCACCTGAGGCGAGCAATGAGTCAGCCCTGGGAGCACAGGTGAAAGCAATTCACCTGTGCTGCAGGAAGGGGTGGAGCCTGGCTGCACCTCTCCTAGACCCATTTAAGAGCTGACTACCAGTGGGGAAGGATCTCTCTCTCTCTTCAGAAGATCCACTCTACTGGAGTTTCCTGAGCAAGCCCACGACACGGGTAAGCCTCCTATTTATTCTCTTTGTCTCGCTGTGCCTAACTCTCTTGCTTATTTCATTATTATAATTTCATTATTATAACATCTCAATATTATTAAATTATATAATATTCCTTTATATAATTTTCATTGATTATACACCATGCTATTTGCAACATCTAAAAACTACTGCAGTTTTGCAAGCAAGAATTAATGACGTAATTCAGCAACTATATTTCTAAAACATGCTACTAACCTATATGGTATTTCTACTTTTTCATATCAGGTATTTCTAAGGACAAGTTACGAAATAGAAATACATTGTGCTGTACTTCTTCAATTCCCCCTTTTCAATATCTAATGCAGAAACAACATTCCATTCCTACAGTACAAATGGATGACTTTTCCACTTTAGTATTTTAAGGCACTAAATCTAAGAGGAGGATCAGAACAGACTGTATATGCTCATTTACCTTTTTACTCACATTCCTAACAACATGACTCTTCACCCCAAGTTGTACTCCACTCCTATCATTTCTACTCAGTTAAAGGTTAACCTCTGGCTTTAGCACAGGTGCATACTTCATCCAACAATCTGTCTAAATTGGATTTCAAGTGGATTATCATGCCCAAGGGATGTGTAAATTGTTACGTGGATCAGCTGGGTAAGCCTGTTTGATTTCAGTGTTGACTTAAGTAAGGGATTCGGTCATGCCCTGTAGCGTGTACTATGTTTCAGTGTATGCTTGTTCTGTCTATATAACTATATGCATTGTTGTCATTAAAGTAATGACTACCTGCAAACTCATACATTATAAAATTGTATGAGTTTTTTAATGCTAGCTAAAATCTAAATGTACATTTTCTTTATACATACCGTAACCACATAATCACAGACTTTTCACTTTCCACAGATTCCCTGCCTCTTCTGCAATATTCAGAGAATTCTGCCAGTGTTTATTTACCAAACTTCATGAAAATCTTCTATTGAATGTGTCTTATTCATTATTATAATTTCTTGCTCATTACTATGTGGCCATTTTTATATTATTTCTCGTTTGAAAACAGTCAAACAAAAAAGAACCAACAACAAAACCTGCCAGATTATTTTCTGAAGATATTTGCAATTATCCTTCTTTAAACAGGGAACTGAGATGTACTTAGTTTTATGCATATATTTTCACTAACTTGGGGTAGATGATTTGCTGAATGTAAACTCATCTCAAATTATTTAACTGTTTATATTTCCCATTATGGCTCATATAGTGTTAATTGATTTCCACCATCTGTCTGAGCTGGATGTGTGTGTGAGCTCTCCCACTCTGTTCATTTGCCATATATCATACTGAGCAGAGCAGGGGAGTAGTGCTTGAATGGTTTTCTGTTTAGATTTTATGTAAATTTGACTCAAGAAGGGAGCTTTATAGCATCTGGCAATGCTGAGCTCATGAGAGTTCACACTGCTTATAAGTTAGTGCTCTTTGGTGCCCCCACAACCTCTGTTAGCTCTCATTTGCTGGAGATTTTAGTGTAGGAACCAACTGCTTGTTGAAGGGCTGAGGGGAAATAACTTTTTTCTTTATTTTTTAATGACCTGGGCAAGCCAGGTCAGCTGCAGACTCTTCACATGCTCCCTCAATCTTCACTGAAATTCACATGAGCTGCAATGACACGCTGTTGAGCTCTGGGTTTGGTACTCTCTTAGTTTCAAGAGTTTCCTTCTGTCCTGCTCAATTCTGTTGTCCACCTCAGCTGGCCCCTCCAAAGATGCTCTCAGACTTCAACTGTTGCTTCAACTGTGCAATCTAGCTCCTTTTCAGAGATTCTTTTCTAACTGCACAATTTGCTGACCCTTTTTCTGTTTCCTCTTACCTTCTTTCTTCCCCTCAGTTCAAACATACAATGCCAGTTTTTCACATTTTATTGTTGCCTTTGTGACTGAGTGCCAAAGCTGACTGATAAACATACTAAAAACCTGTTTGACTACATTGTTGGATAATTTCACAGGTTGCCTAGTGCTGGTGTAGTAGGGAAAAGTTGATGCCATGTGTTGTCATTCTGGTATCCCAGTTGTGCTTGCCACTTGATGAGAGGCTCTGTCAGCTGTGCCCTCAACACGTCTCTGCATGCAAGTTCCTGAGAGATATCTATATGTGAACTTATATTTGAAGAAATGCTATAACCCCAATATGTCAGTTTTAATTAAACTTGATCTGCAGAAGCTTATGGGAGAAAGGAGTCCATGTTATTTTAGCAAAGAGGATAAGCCATGAATTTCCTCTAATTGAAGAAAAAAATGAAATGATTTGTAGTTCCAAATCATGCTTAACAAGAGTTTTCTTCTTAAGTTTCCTGATTCAATGTCTTTCAGTTACGTCTCAAAGGTGAACCAAGAACTGCAAATGCCTCTTACCCTCTCCTGTCCTAGGTACTTCGTGGCAGCAGGTATAAATTTTCTTTAGGCTCTACAGTTTCTTCTCTGTTATGAAACATCCTTAGATAATTAGCTGCTTAAGGTCTGTAGCATTAGATACATTTACTTTATCATTGTATTTCTTCCACCCCCCCGAAATCATATAAGGACTAACAGTAGCATATATGACATAAGGTGTCATTTTCTAAAACATTTTTTTCTATTCTTATGGGGTTCTCGGTACAACATCTCCATGGGGAGGGTGAAAAAAATAAGCAAAGCAGAGCAGAGAATAACACCTGAAGGAAATTTTTCCCTGTTCTCTGCCTCATGGCAGATTCCTCTTATGAGCTGGCTGAATATTTCCATTCTACCTTTCAGGTGTTTCAGGACCAGAGGTTGCTTCTTAGCCTTTCAAGGAAATTAGTCTGGAGTTGGAGACTTTTGCAAATAAAAAGCATTTGTAAGTGCAATGATTTCTGTAGGGAAATCTTAAGACTTTAAATTTGTGTATTATGAATTGTATATCTCAATCAGTGAAAAGCAGTAGAGAAGCAAAAACTAGGCAAAGAAGAGAAGAGAAAGGTAATGGACTCCAGAAGAGTGATTTCGAGGTGTGCAGTTTTGGCATCTTGGTAACACACTCCCCTCATTGGTTCATAGGAATGACTGGGAATTAGGACCATCCACTGATTGTTTCTGATGGATGATAAGCTGCTTTGTTCCTAGAGAAACACTGCTTACTTGGAACCCTAGTTGAAGCCCCCGGTCAACAACTTTATATATTTACTCTTATCAGTTTGGAAAAGCTACCTTGGAAGGTGATACCCTGAAAGTGTTGCAGGTCTCATATCTTCTATAGAGCCTTGCATGTCTACCTTTCAGGCAGAAACAGAACTCACTGGAATCACAGTGAGATCTGCTGGTTGGCACACAAAGCCTTCCACGTGTCCTTGCCAAGAGCCATCTCTTCCTCTGTGCTTCTAGACATACAGATTTCGTGTGAATCACCTAACATCTCAAATATTGTAGCAAAAAGGTGGTGAAGCAGATATCATTATCAAAATCTCCGCTGTGGAGTTTGCTGATGAGAAGGAGCAACTTGTGCAAATCTGCTGTTTTTATGAAGATTGTGCTCCAAAGTCATACGATACATGGTGCTTCTGGAGCAACCTTTAGTCTTTGCTGCTGCTTTTAACCTCGGAAAGGAGGCAGAAGGTGTTTTCCTCACTTTCCTTCCCTAACAGCTGGGAAACACGTTGCCAGCAACAAGCTGTTTGGGGTAGTATTGCTAGCTCGGTGTCTTCACAGTGCCTTTATTTTAACGACCTCGTAAGCACACGGTGTTTGAGGTGCTTAACCGCAAAGCTCAGCCACAGTCAGGAATCGTTTTATTTTTACAGAAGTTTTTCTTTCACGAAAGACGTGAAATCAGAACGCGGGAGGTGAATGGGCTTAGTACAAAACCCTGGAGCTGGAGAGGGAAGCGACACCAAGTTTCCACCCTGCGGGGCTTTCACCAACTTCTATTGGGTAAGTTCACTTCAATGACCGCGGAAGGAGCCGCGGGCGCCCTCTGCGAGCTGCTGCCTCGGGGCTTTTAAAGCACCACGCCACCCAAAGGCACTGCAGCGCGTGGGCGCGGGCGGTGAAGCACAGCCAACTCTGAGGCAAGCTCTGAAGCACCGAATACCGCGGAACTCGGTGCGCGGTGAGAAATCACTCGCTGAACGCGCCGAGACCTCAGCGCAGCGCTGCCGCCCCCCAGCCCAGCCGGACGGGCGCGCGTTGTGCCCGCAGCTAACATGGCGGCGGCGGCCGACGTGACGCCCCTGGCGCATGCGCCGATGACACACGGAGGAGGCAACATTTCCCCTTGGCCGGTTTCCGCGATCACGTGAGCCTCGCTTTTCGGTCGCAGCTTTCTCGCTGATTGGCATGCCGCGCCGCCGCGCGAGAAGAGCCCGGCGCGGAACGCGGCAGGGGATTGGCGGAGCGAGCTGCCGCTCTGCCTTGGCCGCGCCCCCCGCCGGGCGGGCAGCCGACAGCTCCGCCCTCGCCGCCGAGCCGTGTGTCCGGGCCTCGCCGTGTCGGGATGAGCCGCGCTTCCCCATGGAGACCAAACGGGCAGAGATCCCCAGCAGCGTCCTGGACGACCTATGCAGGTACCGCCCGCTCCGCCCCTCGCCTTTCCCCGCGGTCCCGTCGTGCGGCGCGGCGGCTGCTAGGGGGCCTCCCCGCCGCGCGGAGCTGAGGGGAGGCGGTGCGGCCATCCGGCTCGGGGTTCGGGGCTCGGCGCGGCTCTCCCGCCAGGAGGCAGCGGAGGAGCTACGGGGAGCGACCCTGTCTGCGGGGCAGGTGTGTGCCGCCCGGCCCGGGGCTCTGTGTGGCTGCTCGGCAGGCGGGGAGGTGCCGCGGCGAGAACTGCCGCAGGGCCGAGCTGCGGGGAACCGAGGGCGGGGGCGGCGGAGCGCCGTCTGTGGGTTTCTCTTCTTGCAACTTAGCGTTGTTTCCCCGAGGGCATAAAACTGTACTGGCGGTGTTGGTGGGAGTGAGAAGAGCGGCGCGCCTGAGGTCCGTGCGACCCATGCAGTGACACGGTGGAGGTTATGTGTTCGGTAGTGAGCGGCGTGGGGTTTCGTGCTGGAGAACTCCGGTGAGATGGAAGAGGCAGGAGAGCACAGCGAAGTCCCTGTTGTTTACCTGTCCTTCGCAGTGAAACATCCAGTCTTTCTCAGGCATAATCCATTTTTTCCATGTGGCCCACAGGACGTGGGCACAGTTTTCCCCCGGGGGTGGAGAACTGTTCTTTTTTCTGTTCGTTCTGATCTCAACTGGTGATCGTTTGTGGACTTTTAAAGTCATCCCACCCAGCCTCAGAAATTGATGTCCAAAGCTGGATTTGAAACATCATAACAAGTAATCCTTCTGTTTTACATCACTGAAAGGACGCTCTTTAAAGCATTTGCGGGCAGTAGGAAAGGGTTATTAGAAAGAAGTCCACTTACTTTGAATTATTGTTTTCAAGTGAGTGAAACTGCTTAGGAGTGAGAGCACGGGAAATGGGATCTGCTGTACTCATAAATGGTTCATCTTGTACCTTTGTGTAAGAATCAATGTCTGCAAAGCACAAACGCTTTTTCAGTTCTTTAAATCTGACTTTTATAGATTGCTTACATAAGTTGTTATGCCTCTTCTGAGCCATCTACAGAGTGTTAGCACTTTTCTTTTAGTTGTCTACTCACACTTGAAGAAGGGTGTAAGTCTTTCAGAAGATCAGGAAAGGAATTGCAATGCTTACAGCAGTGATCTAGCCACTGTATTGGTGTGACTCCTGTGGGGTGGTGACTGGTAGAAGGGCACGTAAGTAGTCAGGTCTTGCACTGTTACAGGATCAGTGCAGCTGTCTTTATTTGTTCCTTTGAGCCACTCTTATCTTCAGCCTTGGAGTTCTGTCTTGTATTAATTAAACTAATTAATTAAAGCCATGTATGAGGCTTTAATTAAAAAAGAAACACATACACACACCTTCGAATGTTAGACTTAGGGATTCATAGTTACCATCTGTCTTGTTGACTTTTGTTAGTGCTGATGGATCAGCCTTATTTCAGATACACTTCTCTATGTGGGGCACAGACAGAGCAGCTGAAAGGCATGGAGGAGCTGAAAGGCATCAAACTTTAATGTTCCAGGAAGTGAAGAGAATTTTCATACAATCCTAAGAGTTGGAAGGGACCTCTGAAGGCCGTCTAGTCCAACTCCCCTGCAATGAACAGGGACACAAGAGCTAGATAAGTTTGTCCAGGGCCTTATCCAGTCTCGCCTTGAAAGTAACAAGGGATAGGATATCAACCAAAGCAACCTGTGAATTTTGTTACGCACAAAGAGAAGAGACAGGGTAGCTATGGTTTGGTATAGGTCGTGGCTCACTGGAGACATTTTTTCAGTAAGTGGGAGGTGAGTGGTTCTGAATCTCAGGTAGTTAGCTATAAGTGTTAAGTTTATTTCACTTCCTATTCTATCTATGCTTTGATAGGAATTTTGGAAGAAGGAGCTAAGCAAATTTTAGTACTCAGTTTAGTGAACTTGTTGAGAAGATGTAAAATATCTTTCACATTGTGTTCCTTGGTGTCTTTGTGTGTGTGTTTGTTCTTGTGTTTTTTTTCTTCTTCTTTTCATTGTCGGCAAATGAAACGTTGTTGTTAATTACAGTAATTTCATAGTATCATGTTTGGAAACAGGTCACGGAGAGCTTATCTAATATATTCTTGCATGAACTATAGTTGAGTGAACTGCAAGTCTAAGTAACTGTAGGTGAATGTCTAGGAGATGGAAAACATGTATGTCACTCCTAGTAAGCTAAAAAGTGACCAAAAAAAAAAAAAGGACTTTCAAGTCAAACATGCCCAGTAGTTTAAGGTTTTGTGATATTTCTTGCTTTTTTGTTTTGAATTTGAAAACCAAAAACCTAAGTTAAGTTTAAATGTCCACAGAGCAAAACTACTTTCTTTTTGTATCTTAGAAACACCTTAGTGTCTTTCAGACTTCTACACTTTGTTTCTATTAGAAGAAAGGTCTGGATCTGCGCTAAACTCTGTTACAAACTGGTTGTGTACGCCTGAGCTGCAGTCAGGCTTTGACTGTATGTAACATTTTACCTGCTTGACATCTAATGCATTTCTTTATGATGGTAAGAACATTGCGAGCTGGAGCCAGTGCAATTAACACAACTTACTGCTGAATTAAAATATGATTGTATTTTACTTTTAGCTGAATCACTTTCTTTAGATGCCACTCAGATGTTCATCCTAGATCCTTAGATCACTTGCAGCTCTTCCACCCAATTCAGCAAATTAGTCTTAAGTAGCAATTCAACTCTGCAAGGCAGTTTTAATGTCCGCAGGTAGTTCTTGTGATTTTTCCTGGCCTCAGGCATACAAGGGTGCCTTAGCCGATTTTGTGCATCTTGAGGCAAGGGTGTGGTGTGTTTGTTAGATAGTTTGAAAAAACTATCGTACTGCTGGATACTTTTTATCATGTAAAAAGTACTTCACTTCT